AGGATATGCTTTCTTCCATGCTGTATGTCCAGGTACAGGGACCTATGCATATTAAATTATTGTTTAAACCCAGTTATTCTTTTAGCCTTTAGAATATCACATGGCAATGAGTTCCACACATTAATGATGCATAGTATGAAGAAGTATTTCCTTTTGTTTGTTTTAAACCTACTGACTATTAGTTTAATTGGTTGATGCCTAATTTTTTTGTTATGTGAAGTGGTAAATAAAACTTCCCTATTCACTTTATGTCTTCCTTTATTCAACTCTTCTCTAAACTGTACAGTTCCAATCTTTTTACTCTCGCCTCATTTGGAAACTGTTCCATACTCCTAATAATTTTTACTGCCTTTGTTTTCACCTTTCCAGGTCTAATAAATCATTTTGGACATGGGGTGACCAAAGCTGCATGTAATATTCAAGAAATGTGGGTACATGGATTCCCATGGTGGCCATTATGTTATCAATTAAACACCATCAAAAGTGCAGCCTACAGATTTTTGTTACAAACTCTCTTTTCAGTTATGTTTTCCTCTATTGAGTTTAAAACTCTTTCAGCAGTTGCTAAGGTGAGAGAAATTACATTGGCAATCAGCTTTCTGCCCAAGCCATGGTAAGATAAGATGATAGATAACTTAAATAATCAAGATTTCAAGTCTACAGATTCTGTAAATGTGCCATTTCTCTAGCTATAGTTCAGTCTTCTAGCCAACACTCTTCCTCACACTAATCAAGAAAGGACTTGAAAGACTGATTCCAACTCTCTTACAAAAAGGAGTGATAAATAGCTCTTTGAATGGATATTGCAATAAGTCATGGATTAACTGTCATTTCAATAACAATTTTGGAGGCTCTGGCGAGTGCATCGTGTGCTGTCACAAATCATAATCTATTCTATTCCAGTACAAGAGCTTGTACTAACCAGCACTTTGAGAGCTCAGCAGATGCTCTGAATCTCAGAAGGATTTGCTCCCAATCAGTGGCTCCTCTCAGCTCAAAGACCAGATCATCTCTACAATCATATATACGTTCACGCAAACCTCTCCAAGGATTGGGTACTGGCTGAAATTAACTGAATCTCAGTCAAAACAGAGAACATTGTTGTTAGAACCAGTAGGTATCAATAATTGATGCACTGAGGTATTCTTGCTAATATATTTGAACAAGTAAAAATTTCCCATGCAAATATAGTTTAAATTATCATTATATAAAGTGAATGCCTGTCTCTATTATCTTCTGCCTCATCTTGTTATTGATGCCAGAGAAAGGCCTTTGAAAAGAAAAAAACAACTTTGTTTCTTTTTTGTTTTCCTGTATTATAATATTTCAGATACTATATTACTAATTTTAAAAACTCAGCGAAAATGTTCTTCCTTTATATCCATTCATTCATTTACATAGTCATATTCTCTTTACTTCCAACTCATACAAACTCCTGTGGTCTTCTCCACAAAGATCAATGACTGCTGTGGGCACCAACTCATACGGTACATTAAATATTTGGGACTAGAATCACAAAAGGATTTAAACAACAAATGGTCTGGTAGCACTTTATAGACTAACAAAACATGTAAATGGTATCATTTGTTAGTCTATAAATTGCTACCAGACCATTTGTTGTTTTTTTTCTGTACAGACTAACTCGGCTACCCCCTGAAGCAAAAGGATTTAAGTACCTAACTGCCATTTTATGAGCCTAAGTCCCACAGTCAGTCCTCATTGGGCTTCACAGACGTTTTGCTCAGCTGCCGCTGAGGCACTAGACATCTAAACTCACTTGGCATTTAAATTTTTGCAGTCAGATTTCCCTAGGTGCTTATATTTCTGCCTCAGTGCTTGCACCCTGCAGCCTCTTGCCTGACTTTCCTCCACCTAACTCACCTGCAGGGCTTGCTTATTGGATTGGAGCCTCTGAAGTGTTGTCTACTCTGCATTGGTTGGTAACAGGTTAGTGGAGCCCAGAAAGGCTGCACAGAAATCAGCCAATAGGAGAGTGGCTGTGAGGAGCAGACAGTCAAGAGCTGGATAGGACCATATAAAAAGAACTTCATGGCAGAGCAGAAGCAATTGCTCCCTGGACCTTGAGGAGGGAGAAGACCTGGCTGTCTTGCAGGAAACAGAAAGTTAGTACACAGAAGTAGTGGGCAGAATTAGGGAAAAGAGAGCAAGTACCTGGCTGTCTGCTAAGACTGGCATGTTGAGGCCCTGAGATCAGGACAGAGAAAGTGATGGGGCAGCATGGAACTGGTACAGGAAAGTAGACTGAGAGGTTGCAGGGAACATAGTGTGTTGCTGTTATCTACTAAGTCCTTGGGCCTATACCTGGAATAGTGGGCAGGCCTGGGAACATTTCCCAGGAATGGGGGAGCACAGAGTGCAGCACTGCTGGAGGGCTGTGTCCTGGAGAGGACACTCATTGTCCTTGGAGTGACATGGGTCCTGGAGATGTGATGGTGGCAAGACATCAGCAGAAGAGGTAGGACTAGTAGGAAGAGCTAATCTGCAGTAGTAAGTGCACTCTATCACAGTACTCTGTAGGGCTGTGTCCAGACTCAAGGGTTTTTTCGAAAAAAGGCTACTTTTTTCGAAAGTGCTCTTTCGAAAAAAGGCATTCTTGAATGCAAACAGAGCTTTTTCGAAAGAGAGCATCCAGACTGCCTGGGTGCTTTCTTTCGAAAAAGCGGCTTGCTTTTTCGAAAGAACTGCTTGCAGTCTAGACGCTCTTTTACGAAAGAGGCTTTTTCGAAAGTATCTTTCGAAAAAGCCTCTTTCGAAAGAGGCTTGCAGTCTAGACGTAGTCTCGGTAAACTTACACACAACAATTGGGAGAGGAGGTGTAACCACCCCAGAGCAGTTTCAAACCTAGGACCTTTGTATAGGAATCTTTGCAGCTTGAACTATAAAGCCAGATGGCTCTCAGCCTAGGCTATAGAGGTCTCTTGTGTTTATCTATTGCTGTAAATGGTCTAAGTGCCACTGCATGGGACAGTGAACCACACTAGGTGTGTGGGTTACCGAGGGTCTTCCTCATAACTTTTAGCATAATGATAAGTTATTTGTTTGAGCCATGAGAGACCCTAGCTCAAATCCTCCCTCTATCTGAGGGAGAAGGCAGCATTTGAACTAGGCACTGCCATTTCACAAAAGAGTGCTCTACCCCGTGAGCTACAGGATTTTCTCAGAGCTGCCCTTGCTGAAGTTCTTCCACCCTGACTGCATAATGTAAAGTCATTGGAGCAGGAGAACTAGTTCTCCCATATCTCAAAGGAATTGCTCTAACCACAAGGCTAGAGAGTCACCTGTCTCTCAGCTCAGTGGTTCTTTCATTAGTCATTCATGGTAGAACTGCTTTAACAGGACAGATGGAGGAAGTTCTCTATCAGAATATCCCATAGCTGAGTGATTAGAGTACTTACCTGAGGGGTAATAGAGAATGTATTGGGGTCACCTCTGCCCCATGTTGTCATCTTCCATTTGCTAGTTTAGGAGCAGCTCCACCTAGTGTGCTGACTTTCGTGAATTCCATTCTGAGGTACTTCTCTACCCCCATTCATTATGTAGAGAGCATAAGTGCCAACCTCAGGATTTGTAAATACCACTGATTTTTTAGGTAACTAAAAATTCTCAGTGTCACTATACATACGCTCCTTTGCAAATATAGCCCTGCGGTCTTAGTGCACTAGAGGGATATTTTCTAAGGCTCAACAAGTTATTAGGTGCCTCATTCCTTTATATGTTGCTGGAAATCTCCCCCTTAAAGCCATAGTTCACTGTGTCTATGAACAGAGTTCATTTATTAAGTATTGGTCTTAGCCTATCATGGTTATGATGATTTGTCCTATGGATATTTAGATCAAATCAGCATCTAATGAAACAAGTCTTTAAATTCTGTGGTGAAATCACGCAGGTAAGAGTCCCACTATAGGAAACTCTTGATAGAAACATGGGATTAAAAATATTTTCTTGCTGCATAAAATTATAATTGATAACTAGCATAGATCTGGAGGTCTAATAAGTCTAATTGAAACAGCTAGATAACAGCAAAGCAAACAAAGATGCAGCTGGAGATTTCTCTGATACAGGGGAGCCCTCAACTAGTGCAGAAGCGCTTGTTCTTCTTGGGAGTAAGGGGTCATTCTGGGGGAAACATTAAAATCGTAGGAGGCTTTTGCTAGCCAGGAAGGCTTAGATAACAAACTGATATAAAAATAAGCATAAATAGAAACACTCTTTTCAAGACAGAAAAAGGAAAATGTTTCATTTTTTTTAAACGCACTTAAAAAGTTTCAAAATAGATTGCTTGGCTACTAATACAGATGTATGAGCAAGAAAACAATGTATACACAAGAGACCTATGTTTGCGTTTACATTTTGGTCTGAATGTCACACATTAGCAAATCTCTTGGATAGATTATCCCTCTTAATCATTCTCAGTCATGAGAGAAAATACCAGTGAAATCAAACTGCATTGTTAGCAGAGTGAAGGTGGCGAAAGTTTTTTGTTAAAGGCTCTACACCAGTAGTGGGCAACCTGAGACTGTTTATGTTAAGCATCTGTAAGCATGGTTCCCCAGAGCTCACAGTGACACCAGTTAGCTGTTCCGGCCCCAAAGGGAATTGTGGGAAGGGGTGGCCAGCGCCTCTCTGTGTCCTGATACTTCTTGAAGCTACCATTGCCCGGGAATGGGAAACTGTGGCCACTGAGCTGTGAGGGGTGTTTCTACAGATGCTTAATGTAAACAATCTATCTTGCAGCCCACCAGATTGATAGGCCACGTGCAGCCCGCAGGTTGCCCACTCTGCTTTACATTGTCCATGTCAATGGAAATTTTACCTGTGAATTCATTGGGAGCTGGATCAGTTTCTAAAATCTCATTTAAAAAGCATATCTATTCAGGAAAGAAGCTTACACATCTGCTTAAATCCCATTGAACTCAATAAATAAATGATTTGTTTACAGTAGTAAGTCTCTGTTGCAGTACATACGCTAAATTCCATACCTTACTATAGTAAATACAATGAGGATATTGCCAACTAATCCCATTGAGCAGATAATCCCAATTAGAGCAGGAAGGATGATGGTTTCTGCTGCAATGATCACTTGGTAGTAATGCCCTCCACTCCATGATTTGTTGGACAAGTCAGGTGTGCTGTTCCAATAGGAAGGCTGTATTTCATTCATTCTTCAGAGATGTTAGATCTTTACATCTGTAACAGTAACAGAAAATAAATTATGCATAGACTCTTACAATTTGAATATTTCATTATTCAAGCACGGTAGCTTGAGACACATGATTTTTAATTACAGTTTGAATTTCATAAATAAAATCTTCCAAGTGGTTGTGGATGAGTATTCATATCACCTTATTAAAAAAAGTCTGGGACATGCGTTGTACCTATATTAAAATATACAGAGCTAGTTTTAATGGTTCATTTTAGCTTACAGTATTAATTCTTTGGGGGTAGCCGAGTTAGTCTGTCACAGAAAAAAACAACAAAACACTTTATAGACTAACAAAACATGTAGATGGTATCATGAGCTTTTGTGGGCACAGCCCACTTCTTCAGATGATCACAGTAGGAGTAGGGGATATGAAAACTTGAAATTCTGAACATGCAAATCCCATGGACATCTGTGCCTTGATCTCTCACAGATTTATGAAACATATAGAAGTCACTTAGGCCCAAATTTTTAATAGGAAGCTCTAATTTTGGGTGTCCCATTTAAGTGAATCGAAGCCTGATTTTCAGAAGTGCTCTGTCTCTTATCTGGAGTTCATTTGGTGATTAGTGCTGCCAAGAATCAATCCTCAGATATTTCTTCACCTTGTGTTCCCCCAAATTGAGATTGTCACAATATAAAAACCCTTGATATATTGTTCCAGTGGTTAATTGCTTTCACTGTTAAAAGTGTACATCTTATTCCCAGTCAGAATTGATTCAGAATCTGATTCTTCATAGAGTATGGCTACGTCTACGCCGGCATGATTTTCCGGAAATGCTTAAAACGGAACAGTTTTCCGTTATAAGTATTTCTGGAAAAGGAGCGTCTACATTGGCAGGATGCTTTTCCGGAAAAAACCCTTTTTCCGGAAAAGCGTCCGTGGCCAATGTAGACGTGCTTTTCCGGAAAAAAGCCCCGATCGCCATTTTCGCGATCGGGGCTTTTTTGCGGAAAAGACTACTGTGCTGTCTACATTGGCCCTTTTCCGGAACAGTTTTCCGGAAAAAGGACTTTTGCCAGAGTGGGAGCAGCATAGTTCTTCCGGAAAAGCAGCTGATTTCTTACAGTAGATCGTCAGTGCTTTTCCAGAAATTCAAGGGGCCAGTGTAGACAGCTCGCAGCTTATTCCGGAAAAGCGGCTGATTTTCCGGAATAAGTGGCCCAGTGTAGACACAGCCTATGTGATTTATTTTCCAGTGCTTGAAATGGAAATGCTGGGGACATTGTTTCCCATTGCACTGAGATACAAGGCAAGTGATTTCAAAAGCGAAGTGGGTTACTGCCTGTGGCTTGGGTTAGGAGACAATAATGCAATTTGGCTGCTTTTGTTGCTGAAGAGGATTTTTCAGCTTAGAAAAGAGGAGACTAAGGAGGATATAACAGAGGTCTATAAAATCATGACTGGTATGTAAAGAGTGAATAAGAAATAGTTATTTACTTATTCCCACAATATAAGAACTAGGGGTCATCATATGAAATGAATCGGTAGCTGGATTAAAACAAACAAAAGAATGGTGTTTTTTCACACAGTACATAGTCAACCTGTGGAACTCCTTCTCAGAGGATGTTGTGAAGACCAGGCCTTTAACAGGGTTCAGAAAAGAGCTAGATAGATTCATGGAGGTTAGGTCCGTCAATGGCTATTAGCCAGGATGGGTAGGAATGGTGTCCCTAGCCTCTGTTTCTCTGGAAGTATGTGACAGGGGAGGGATCACATAAGGACTACCTGTTGTGATCCCTCCCTCTGGGGCATCTGGTATTGGCCACTGTTGGCAGTCAGGATACTAGGCTAGATGGACCTTTTGTCTGACCCAGTATGGCCGTTCTTACATTCTTAACCATGCTGAATTAATTCAGAACCCATACTCTCTCAAGTTTAAGGCAAAGACATGTGTGTCTGAGTACTTCTGATTCCATAGGATAACAAGAAGAGATCTTTCACTAGGACTAGCTGTTTTGAAACTATACTGCAGGATTCACCTTCCGATGACTGTCCAATCTATACCCATGGACTATATAGAAGGATCAGGGCATATCCCTTTATGGAGAATAAACAGCAATACCTGATCATTCAGAGCAACTGGCTGGAGAACGACTACAAAAGATCTAGGTCTGTGATGTCCTAGTCACAGTAAGGGGACAAAAGCTATCTTTTTTTTTCCCCTAAGGGTGCCTCATCTTAATATATGGAATTGAAGAGGAGTGAAAGATAAAAGAGAGTTGGGAAAATAACTTCAAAGAAATACCACTGCCAAAGTGGAATTCATTGTGCGGTGAAATAAATATTACTGGGCTCAGTTTTGCCACAGGGACCTCTGCCCAACAGTATTGAGTGGAAGGAATATAGATTTCCCTAAATGGGAAACCATCTTGATCTAATCCTGACTTCTGGGGAGGCCTGTGTGTGAAATGCAGAAGTTCAGCAGAGAGCTAGATTTCGAGAGTATGAAGATTTGCCCCTTTTTTGACCAGTTCTATGACACTAATCCACTGGGTACAAGGTTCTAGAAGCAGTTCTGGTTTGTGTGAAATTATATTATAAATGATTTAGAATGATATAAAGAGACACATTATTTGAAAGGCAGAAGAACCAGGGGGACACAATTAACATTGAGCTTCCAGTCTTAATTCTGCATTCCTAGCTTACGATTGTTTGATGAAGTTGGTAGGAAAAGTTGTCCATTGTCTGAAGCTGCATTTTCTATCATTGCAGTTCTTTCCTCTCCTGTATTGTGTGTTTGTCTTGTTTCATCTTATTAGGAAATGGGATCAAACTTTAATAACAGAAGCAATGAAAGTTCCAACCCATCTCATCTCTTCCCTTTTCCCCAATAAGAACAGTTATTGCCGTATTGATACCACCTAAATGACTTTCAAAGAAAGGTCTTTTTCCTTTGATAAACTCTCTCCAGCTAAAGAGATGGGGAACAAGGGATGTTGTTAAAATAAAAGTCCCATTTAATATTTTAAAATACTTGAATTGTTTTTCCTTTTTATATATAATTAAAAGTTAAAAGGCATTTTAATGGCGTATTTGCCATGGGAACAAGCAGGCTGAGGTTTCTGAATGCCAAATCCCAAACCTTGCTTATCACTGTTTAATAGGATGGGCAGTCAGGATCATGTTAACACCTTTGGCTCATGTATACCATCTAAATTAACACTACACGATACCGCATCACAAAAATAACATGAGACTGAATTAAAATCATGAAATTTTAAAGAATACTAAATCATATTGTTTTTTAGCTACCTTCAGTTTCTTGACTATTTAGGGAGAAGCTACTCACCCATAATTCAGGTGGGATCATTACAAGCTAATATCGGTAGATGCTGGTGGGCCTACCTCTTAAAGGAAAAGCACAGATCACTAATGAGTTGAATAAAATGATTACTTTAACAGACTAATTTAGATTCCCAGTTTGAAAATTGTGGTCACAGCCTAGCTATGTTTGATTTCTTTCTCTTTTCCTACCCTGTAAGTCACCAGTCATGAACTTTGTTCTCTCTATGTCATGTGTTCATTTATCTTAAATGGAACTATAGGAAGCATACAAGGAAAATTGGATGCTTTGGTGCTTTAGTTACTGAATGCCAACTTTAGTTACTGATCTTAGTAGCCATGATGAGATGAAAAAAAACCCAGTATTAATTTACTATTTAGAAAAGCAGTTCCCAATTGCATAATTATAGAGACATCTGTTTCAGGCTGTGTGAAAAAGAGTGTTAGCATCTGATCACTATATGATTACATCAACAGATTTGGGATTTTGTGTGGTATAAAGCATTCATGAATTAAGAGTCTTGTAGTTTATAAAAACAGCTTGGTAAAATCTAACCTTGGGCCTAAGAATTTTATTTTAGCACAAACAGATGGAGACTCATAGCAAAATATAACCAAATTACTCACAATTCGAAGTAATAGTATTGTTGCGATTTCTGAGTATCTCCGTATCTTTATTTCCTAGTTGATGTTTTTGTACAAGATGCTAAGTACCCCTCTTGTACTCTGAAAATATATGGATTTTGTTTTAAAAGGCTCAGGCAGCTATTCAAGAGCTGCCGATGTGTACTATTTTAGTCATAATTCCCAGTTAGGAAGTATATAATTGCATAGATGCATAGAACTGACTCCATAGGAAAGGCCATTTTATTGTAAAATGACAGACAAGATTAAATCTAATGATGATTTGACTATAATGTGCAAGGTGTGTCCAATTGCTTGTGATTAATAGTATAGACTTTAGTTTATATAACTCTGGAGCTTACTAAGAACGTTGGAGCTAATAGAGGAGGTCTTGCCAGAATTCATCTTAGTGCAGCACCATTCTCATGTCCTGGCTGCCCCTTGTCTCTTTATTTGCTAAGCTTAATTGATTTCTCCTGCTTTACCTCATCCCTCTTTCTAGAATGGAACAATTATTTCTCCTTCATGCTGTGCCCACTTTTCACCTCTAAATATAATAGTTTGTTGGCAAAGCAGAAGCAACAACCTGTTAAGTTGTGGGGCAACATGTAAAAAATAGACTCTGAAATTACATGGACTGTGCTTTGTCATTTACATTAGCCAAAATCTGTTTGTAGCTGGCATCACCTCTGCTGAGTTTCATTTAGATCTCTTATCATTTTATCATTGACATTTTCAATTGGACTGTCAGAGCACATTCTCTTTTGTCTGGTTTCTGCTTGGTGTAGTTGAGTTGGAAGGGTGGTGGATGGGCAGACTTGACAAGGGGCTGGTTATGGCTCTCTCATTCTCTAAAGTAATCTGGGCCCTGAGTGAACCTCTGGGAACACACAGAGGTCTTCCAGGGGTACATTAACTCATCTAGATATTGGCTTAGTTTTACAATAGGCTACATAAAAAGCCCTACTGAAGTCAATGCAAACTAAAATTCTGCACAGTCTCCTTGTAAGTACAGACTTACACATGGAAATGTTAGTACAATATTTATAGTCTAATTGATTTATTTGTAATTAAATT